TCCTCCCCCTCTTGCCACACGTCCTTTCACGAAGCTGGGAGCATAGAGACCCCAGACTCCAAGTACTGGATCCCTGTCCTGTTGCTTTTCAAAAGCCAGGTGCCGGGCTTTAGGTTTCAGCGAGAGGGAGAGAAGAGGATGGGGGTGGGACCAAGGAAGATGGGACCAAGACTGCAGGCGCCTGCCAACTCCCTGGTTCCGGCGAGAGCTGGGGGTCTTTGAGGTTTCCCAACTCCATGGCCTTGCTCTTTGTTCTCACTCCCCAGGTACCCCCAAGGGCAGCGGAGGCGCGGGGCCGGCGAGCTCGGAGCGCACGCCTTTCCTTTCTTCGCACCCAGACTTTAAGGAAGAGAAAGAGAGGCTCTTGCCCGCGGGCTCGCCGTCGCCGGGGCCCGAGCGGCCGCGGGAAGGCGGCGGCGCCGAGAGGCAGGCGGGCGCGGCCAAGAAGAAGACGCGCACGGTCTTCTCGCGCAGCCAGGTGTACCAGCTCGAGTCCACCTTCGACATGAAGCGCTACCTGAGCAGCTCGGAGCGCGCCTGCCTTGCCTCCAGCCTGCAGCTCACCGAGACCCAGGTCAAGACTTGGTTCCAGAACCGCCGCAACAAGTGGAAGCGGCAGCTCTCCGCGGAGCTGGAGGCGGCCAACATGGCGCACGCGTCGGCGCAGACTCTGGTGGGAATGCCGCTGGTGTTCCGGGACAGCTCGCTGCTGCGCGTGCCGGTGCCGCGCTCGCTCGCCTTCCCCGCGCCGCTCTACTACCCGGGCAGCAACCTCTCGGCCTTACCTCTCTACAACCTCTACAGCAAGCTCGACTACTGAGCGGCCCGCCGGCCCCGCGCCGGCCCCGCGCCGCCCGCCCGCTCCCCGCCAGCCTGGCGCGGGCTGCCCCCACTCCGGAGCTGGGCTGCGCGTTTCCAGAAATATTACGAGATACACCATGTGTATTCGTTAGCTCTTATTTATGGCCTCTGCCCTACTTTTTGTTTGATTGTTTCTCGTATTTATCGGCATTCCTCCAGCCAGATCATCTGCTTTCTACCCCAAACCAACCAATACGGTTTGAAAACCATGTTCGAGGGGATGTTCTACGGTGGTGGTGGGAAAGGGAGTTTCGGCCAGATCGACATTGATCGGTAGGAAAAAAAATCAGTAAAACACCAGACCAGGTACATTCTTCTCCCCCATATATACACCTGTATATATGTACACGCACACACGGCTGGCCAAGCCAGCCCTTGGGGGCTTCGAACAATGATCTCGACTCCTCTTTTCGTTTCCCTTGTCCCGAGGATGGGTAGGGGAGAAAGGGGGGGGAGATTTCAGATCTGTAAATATTTTTAAAAAGAAAAAAATAAAACATTTTAAGCATCGTTGCTAACTTTGGTGGAATTGATTGTCCGGCTACTAACGCGCAGGTGTTCTCGCTTTTCCTTGGAAGAGCTTGCAGGCGGGCGTCAGAAGAGGTCTGGCTCGAGCCCCGTGGAAGGTGGGGCGGGGGTCAGAGGTTAAAGGTTGGGACCTTGGCCCCGCCGAGGAGGCACGTGGGCTGGAGGCGCACCCCTTTCCACTAGCTGGTGCCCGTAGTCTCCGCGCGGCGGAGGCTCACCTCGGCGGGAATCCAACTCTGGAGCCCGCGCGGAGAGGTACTGGGGGGCGGCAGGCTTCACTGCCGAAGCAGTTGCCTCCCGGAACGAGCTTCTTTCCAGCCCTGGGAGCGCCTCGGAGTTGACGGCAGCAGGGCGTCGTGCGTCGTGGTCCAACCTGTGACAGGAGCCTCCTCTCCGAGGGCACAGGGCAGGTGGGGCGGCGCTGCCTGGATCAGGTATAGAGCCCGGTTTGCTCGACCCCCAGCCTGGCGCGCTCACAGTTTCCGAGCCGCTCGGTGCGGGAAAGGCAGCACTTCGGCTGAGGAGGGATGAGGCCTGAGACTAGGCAAAGAAAGCGCGGGAGGCAAAGGCTCCTCCTCACACGGTTTTGTTGTTTATAGTTTGCCTTGTGCGTGGCTAAGGGGCCGGGTCGCGGGCGAGCACGTGGCAGCGGGCACTGAATGGAACCTTGGTGCGCGGTTTGCGCGCCCACGGACCTCGGCGCCCCAGCACCTGCTGCCTCACCCAGGCTGGGCGGGCGCGGCACCGAGAGGACAGACGCGTGCCGAGTGTCATGCAAATCGCAGTCTCGCAGTGTTAGATCGCAGCCACCTGTTCCTTGGAAAACGTCAGAAAAAAAAAAAAATTGCCTGAGCTTTGAGGATGCTGATGGTTCGGTGTCACGTGGGGCGAGCTCCCGGGTCCTCCTGCCTCCAGCCCCGGGCTACTCCTTAGGCGCTGCAAAGGTGTCGGGAGTCGGCAGCGCGGAGCCCGGATCCCATCCTCTAGAAGGGGAATATTTGCGTGATAGACCTGTCTGTTTGAGCGGAGAGGCATCGAAATTATCTGCATTTTATGAAAGTATGCAGGTTATCTGTTACTCGACTATGTGACCCGCAGTGTCATGTCTTAAATGCCTGGTGTCTTGTCCATTTGTGAGGTCATATTTTTTTATGTTAGATTTCATAAAATTCAAGAACACATGTGCCAGTGGTGTTAGGTCAATTGCATTTATTTCATTTCAGCTGAGTTCAATAAATATTTACTGAGCCCTAGTACTTGCTGAAAACTATGCTAGATATTGGCTAGTCAGAGAGAGAAAACAGAACTGACACTGGATCTGTTTTTTTCTGATTTATTTGGTACGCATATTTCAATGAAGTTTTCTCTTTCCGGAAACCTGCTTTAAATTTTTCTTTCCTCTCAAGCTGCTATTTGAATATTCCATGAAGAAATAACCAAACTGCCTTCAAGGAACTACTTGTATAGGAATATTTCACCCATATCATTTTTGTCTGCACTTCAATAGATTACATTTTTTAAACAGAGATGATGGTTTTAACAGTATTGGGTCACTATATCCTTCTTGGGCTTACTTCCTTCATAGGAAGTTGTTTCCTGTAGGCAGTTAATGGCAGAGTGGTTTTTGCCCTTAAGATTTTAGGGATGATCATTTTCCAGTTTGTCATATAGTGGGTACTTCACTTTTTTTTACTAATCCAGAAATTAGTAGTCAAAGGTGATCCAACAGTGTGATTAGTTTCTAGGAATTCCTCTTTCTTATAGGTAACTAAGTACACACACACACACACACACACACACACACGGCTTTGCATGTGGATTTGAAATGTTCAAGACTCCATTGTGGCCAGATTTCCTATCTCAAGACTATCAATTCATTTGAATAAGCAGCAAAATCATCAGCCTCCTTTCAGGCTCTAAACTGGATTTAAAAGATTGACGTTTCTTAAAACTCAAATCGAGTCCGGCTGCAACTGCCTGCCCAGAGGGACCTGAATCATACACACACTGGTTAATGAAATACGCTTAGATTTTATTAGTGGGTAATTCATGCTCAGAATCTCGAAACACTAGTAGAATTAAATAAACAACTGGGAGAGGGAACCAAATAAAATTATTTGGAGATAAAATTATTTAGCCAAAATTAGAATGGAGGCAAGGCACTGCACTTTAAAATTCTTAACCTAGCCATTAAGTTGTTGAAAGAGGAGAGAGAACCAAGTATGAGGACTGGTGAGGAGACAGGGCAAGAATCTGTCCTTTTGACAGGAATATCACCAATACACCGGGCAGAAGGGTGGTTGTTGTGTTTACTGTGTCACCATTCATAAAAAAGTGCACCTGAGTCAGCATATATGAATGCATAAGGACCAACAACACTTTTTCTCTATCAAGGTACCTTAGAAATTAAACACTTTAACCTCAGCAGTTTCCTCCCACTTCATACAAGATCATTTAATAATAAGATTTTTTTTTACAAAAGCCTGTGAAAAAGGTTATAGCATGGATTAAATTGAAAATTTTCAGTGCACTTTTGATATTCAAGAGTAACGGAGTCACAGCATTCTAGTTATAAATTAAGTATCGCTTTTCTTTCATGGAGGCCAAATTATTTCTCATTACAGGAGCAACGTTCTTGATTCTCCTATTTCTGGACGATTCTAGAAACAGAAAATCCAGCAAACCGAGCCTGCAAGTCTGGCGAGTTCTTGGGGTGGGAGGGGGTGGATGGAGAGAAGCTTGTAGGTGTCATTTTAGGGCCCTACTTGAACATATGTCTCAAAGAGGCTTTTGAGCTTTAACACACTGCAGAGTAATCATTTGTTTCTCAGTCTGTCCAACCTTCTGGACAAAGAGTTCCTCAAGAGTAAGAATCGGTCTGATTAATGCATCTTCCCGGTTTTCTCACCAGGCCTGGCATGCGCTGGGTGCTCAATAAATGTTTGCAGGAAAATGGAATGAAGAGATAAGCAGAGTATAAATAAGGATGAGTATCTTTAAGGTCAGTAGATCTTCGACAGTGGGAAATGTGAGAGCCTGGTTCATAGGTGGAAAGTCCAGGAAAATGAGAAAAAATTAGGGCAAAATATACACTTCATTTGAGCAAATAGTTTTTTCTCCATTCCAATTTTGGTCAACTTCATGGGCATATGCATGTGCAGTGGAAGGGAGACTAATTTAGCTCTATAAAAGTACTGACCAAAATAAGGTTTTTGTGTCTGAGAGACTAACTGAGATGGGGAGGGCCCCAAGAGTCAACTGGGAAGAGTATCTTTCCCGCCTACTATTCAGAGGACAGGCCAGGCGTCGGCCCCAGGGAGACTACATTTCCCAGCGTGCCGCACACGGACGGGCGAGGGCGTGAGCGCAGCCTTGGCGCGGTGCTCTTTGGGAGTTGTAGTTTTCACTCGTCCGGCACTTGCGCGGGCGCCTCAGCCTGGTGGTGAAAAGAGGCCACGTGACCGGAAAAGCCGTCATTCGCCTTTGTGCCGGAACAGGTTGCCTGGGTTGACTGACGCCCAGCGGACCAATCGGCTGCCTAGAGCGAGACGTTGGCGTTTGAAATCAGCCAATGGCAGGCATTGGCTGGAACTTCCTCTCCGCCCCTTTCGTCCGGCTTGCGAGAGCTTCGAGGGAAGCTAGGCGGCGGCGAGTAACGGCGAAGTTGCTTCAGAAGGAGCCTAAGGTAACGGGGAGAGGCGGCCGGGCGCAGTAGCGAATTCTTTGGGAACCCCTCCACCCGTCCCCCGGGCCCGGAGCTGGCGGAGCCGTCCTCTGGGAACCGGTTCCTCTTCCACAGGTTTTCTGTTATTTCAGGAGCAGGCGGGGCGGCAGGCCCGGGGGGGAGGCCGGGGTGCAGGAGCCCGCGGCGGGCCACGCTGGAGGCTGGAGTTAGGGGTGCGGTGGTGGCGACGCGGCCGGCTGGGACGCTTAGAAAGGGGCGGCGTGGGGTGGGGGGAGATGAGGCCTGACCGCGGCGGGCGCGGCGGTTCCGCGCAGGCGCAGAAGCCGTGTCGGCGGCCTTCCCTAGGCCCGGCCCCCGTGGGGCCCCCTCGCTGCCCCGCCGTCGGCGAGTCCAGCCCCCGGACCCTTGGGGACTCTTAACTGGGCGCTTGTTCAGTAGATGACCGGTTCTAACGAGTTCAAGCTGAACCAGCCACCCGAGGACGGCATCTCCTCGGTGAAGTTCAGCCCGAACACCTCCCAGTTCCTGTTGGTCTCCTCCTGGGACACGTCCGTGCGCCTTTACGATGTGCCGGCCAATTCCATGCGGCTCAAGTACCAGCACACCGGCGCCGTCCTGGACTGCGCTTTCTACGTAGGTGTCCTCCGCTTCCGCTCCTGCCCCCCTTTAATAGTCTCGGTATGGTGTTCCTGGTCAACAGTATCCGTTTTCCGTTGTTGGGCCGAGGCTTTTGTCGGTGGGGTCATTTGGATAGCTCCCCTCCCTTCCCCCAGCACTTACCTTGAGCCCCAGGTACTGTCTTTTTGTTTGTTTGTTTTGTTTTGTTTTTTTTGTGTGTGTGTGGGTTTTTTTTTTTGGCACTGGGGACTTGCAGTGTCGGTCTCCCCTTGTGTCCTTGTGTTTTCCCCTTGTGTTCTAATGGCGTAACCCTGCAAACCTTTTGGACGTAATGTGTTTGAAACTCACAACAAGACAGTAACATTTGGCTGTCTGGTTAAAATAAAGGTGTGTTTGCGAGTACATGGGAATGCCTGTTGACTGTCAGCCAGTGGGGTGAACAGTTCTTCCTTAATTTGCTGGTGTAGTAGTTTTCTCAGCTCCTTAATTTGCTTTATTTTTGGTACTGTTTTTTTGTTTGTTTACAGTGAGTAGCTGAGCCCAGTGTACCTCTCGTCCTGAGCATAAACTGGATAGTTGGCTGTAGAAACAGGAATTTTAGAATGCTTTTTAAAGCTCTGTAAGTTTTAAATGACTTGTAACTTTATTTTGTAGGATCCAACACATGCCTGGAGTGGGGGATTAGACCATCAATTGAAAATGCATGATTTGAACACTGATCAAGGTAACATAGCCACGTTTTTACCAGTTTAGTGTTTTCTTAGTTAGTGCTTACTTGTAAATGTTTATTTATGAAGAGTAGTTCCTGAATTGCTTAGTTCCTAAGTTGCTTAGATACAAGTAAAAATGGCTTGAATTTAGGACTTTTTCGTTTAAATGATAACCATTAAATTACAATCACAAAATATTAGGCATGTATTTTATCAGTGAAACTCATGATCTCCATCCACAGTGTTTACATGAAGTGGCACTTAAGTATTTGCCCTTTCCCTTGCCCTCAGAAGGGGACTGGGTCCCGCAGTGGACTACCTTTCAGTAGGATTTTTCCAGGACAGTGCTGATGTTTCAGCGTTCTCTTTTCAGAAGCTAATTTAGTTTAGACTGAAGGAAGATAGGTTTTAAAAAATTTAACATTATAGAATAGCCAACCCTGTCCAGATACCATGTTAACCCCGCTTGTATAATTGTTTAGCATAGAATATGCTTCAGTTGCGTTTATTGAATGAAGAACAAGATGACACATTTTCTTTTAGTTAATTTCTAAGAGATATGAAATAACTTACCCACATTTTTGTGGTGACTTTGGAGCAGAGTAGAGATTGGAATGGAACCCGAATACACAGAGCTCTCTAGTGGAGTTTTTTTTTTTTTTTTTTGGTATATGCGTACGTTAGACATAGATGTACTTGAAGGACATGGCAAGGCATAGAGATACGACTAACGAGGACGAGTTGGACAGTGGGATGGCTAGAGGATGGGCACTGTATCTTATCAAAAAAAAAAAAAAGGATCCAGTCAGAAGAGGCTTTTGCATGAAAGCCGTTTTGTCATGTAACTTACAACTGCAGGTGTTTGGTTTTGTTTGCTAGCAGCTTATTCTAGATAGGAAGTTAGCTTGCAGGTTTAGGTTCTATTTGTTTGAAAACTCAGGAGAAAAAAAGCACTGAAAAGGAAACAAAAGTTTTTGAAGTTATAGGCCATAATTAAGGGAATTAGCTGTTTATTCTCAGAAGATCATTGCTGAACTTCACGAGATACCATTTAAACAAGAAAAAAAAGTATGTATTTAAACAGGTAGTTTTCCTCTTTGAGGATCAGGGCCACATATTGTTTGTTCTTTGTTGTGTCCTTAGCATGTGGTATAGATTCTGGCACATAGTAGACATTTAGTAGATGTTAGTTGAATGAATGAATCAGATAGGGTGAAGAGTTGAAACTGAGAGGAAAGATATTGTGTATTAGAAATTTGACCCACCATGAAAACCAAGTGGGTTAATCTTAAGACTCCCTGCCTTCCTCATCCCCAGCTCTCAGATAATCCTGTTACCACTTAAATAAGTTTCTTTGAAACATCAGCTTAACTCGGTAAGTTTTATCCAGATCCATTTGACCAGAGTTCTCCACTCATTGGTTCATTTCATCAGGTATTTCTTGAGCACCTATGTGTATAAGAACCTGTACTAGATACTCAGAACTATAGAGTTAAACAAGGTTCCTGATTTGAAGGAACCTAGAATCAAGTGAGGAAAATAACAAATATGCCACCATTTTAATGTAATCTGAAACTGAAGTCAGCCTTTGGTATTACCATGCCAGTGAATCAAGCTATGCACTGTCAGGTGAACAGAGATGAAAGGATGACTTTTCGTAGTCGCGGAGAAATTTTTCTGTGTGTAGTAGTTCTATTGAGTGGGTGGAAGCGGATTTGTTACAGTGCGATGAATGTTTCCTTCTATTGTTCACTTGAGGAATCTTTGTTTAGTAAAGCTAGGTGTGGTTTGTTGGTTTGTTTTTTCCTACAGAAAATCTTGTTGGAACCCATGATGCCCCTATCAGATGTGTTGAATATTGTCCAGAAGTGAATGTGATGGTTACTGGGAGTTGGGATCAGACAGTTAAATTGTGGGATCCCAGAACCCCTTGTAATGCTGGGACCTTCTCTCAGCCTGAAAAGGTAGGCTCTTTATATTCGTAACAGGAATTATGGTCCTTGGGGTGGTTTGACTTGATAAATGTTTGATGAATACGATGTTCAATTGAGGTTAAGAGTTGATGAGTCTGTTTTACAAACTCAGCTAAATATGTGAAGGAAAACTAATTTTGGTCAACATTTTCTGTCAGTTGTCGTGTTTGTACTGGATAGCACTAGTCCTAAACCCACTTCTGTGTATTAACGCTTTCAGTCCTAGGGCTGAGAAGCAACTTTTCAGAGAAGTCATTTAGCAAAGACTGTTCCATTGCCTTCATTTGGGTCTGACAGCCCCAAACCAGGAAGTGGGATGGAGCATCACTCATTTTCACTTATGACCTGAGGTTTCTCTTGCGTTGACTAAGAAGGTGAAATGGGTTATCATTTGAAGTTTAGTGAAAAAGATGTCCTATATTCCCTGGCTTTTACCATTTATTTATTTTTAATACTAACAGATGTAGTTTGAAGGCTGTAGTGAAGGAAGCTTCTTAAAACTGAAACTTTGTGTATTATTGTAACCTTTTGATCTGTACAGTGGAAGTGTAATTGAGCATTCTTGCTGTATCCTTTATCAGACTTTATCAGGTGGTAGTTAATTTTAAAGATTGATTGTTTTAGCAATTTAAAGGTATCCTTCACTTGAGTCTGTTTCCTCAATGTAAATATGCTATTCAGTTCCTGTTAGCTGTCATTATATACTGTAGTGCATCCAAAGAGCCATTATTTGTGTCACATCACATTCGAATCTACTCCTGGCAAGACCTTTGTTCAGAATAAAATAATTGCATTGTTTCTAGTTTTGATTTATGGTTGTATGTAACGTGTCAAGAGCTGTGATAAATTGCTGACAGAATATCATATAATGGACAGCCACACTGAATCAAGCTGCTTATTGGTTCAGCAAGGTTCATTATGTCACTTTTTTTAATACTGTTTTTGATAAATGTATATACCTAGTCAGTAGCATGACAGTGTTTTTACTTGATTTATGATTCGTGGGGATAGAAAGCACTTTTAGAAGCTTGTGTGTCACCTGTATAGTAAAGATTTAAGATAAAATTCCCATTCTGATTGTACTGTTATCAACTGATCTCTTTCTGTGTTTCTTAAAATTTGGTGTTTCATATATCTTAGGTTAATTTCTGTTCTTCTGCAAACATGTTTTCTGAATAAACAGCGGTAAATCTTAATATGTCTCTTATTGAAATACACTTGTGTTAAATCTACTGTTTTGAATCTTCTAAATTTCTTGTTTTTCCCTTGGTCAAATTAGCTGTTGAATTTAAAGGCCAGATTGTAGAGACTGTCCGCTCGTTACATTGTGAAACCCAATTTGTTTTTTTCCTCTGGGCTGGTGGTATGTGGTTAACGTATTAGTGATTACTAACCATAACGTTTAATTACTGAATGTTAAAGAGATATCTTACCATGTCATGAGGCCTCTTCATTTTTTATAGTGATTTTTCAGGTTTTAAAATATTAGATGAGTTGCTTATTAATTGAAAGTAATGATCAGGGCATAGTTATATACCTGAAGTCTAGACTTTAAAAAAATGGTTTAACCTGATCAGGAACATACGTTTTGCCACCATTTTCATGAATTTGCTATCTCTATTTAGTCCCCAGATAACATATTTGAAAAGAAGTAACTTTAAGTGCTTATTGGCAGGAAATTTTGTGATTTGTTTTAAAGGAATGTTTTTGTGGAAGTTGTTTTGATATTGAAGAAAAGGAATTTTGAGGGGAAAAAAATAGATGCTTTTAGGGAATAAAATGCTTTTTAAATTTTCCCTGAAGATAACTCTGTCCTGAGTGTTCAGTATGACGTCAGGGTATAAGAATTTGCCTTGTCATATGCCAGACCACTATCCTTGTCTTTTAATTTTGAGTTCGTATGCCACTGAAAGCAACTAAGAAGCTAATTAATGATAGCTCTCTCACTCTTCCTGGGAAGGCCTATTTATTCAGTGTGACAGCTGGTAGAGTCAAGATTTTTAGAGTTACAACATGAAATATCCTTCCAAAAGGTGGTCATAGAAAAATAACTTGGAAAATGATTGTTTTATGAAAAGCCAGAAGCCCATTGAAAGCTATCTTGGGTTTTTATGGCTTTATTATCTCCTTTTTGAGTATTTTCTACAATTTTATATTGTCACTGAATGAAACAAGAGGGCTGTAAAAACTGTTTAATAATTTAACTTGTTTTAGTAACGAAGAGAATTGTTTCAGAGATGCTTTCGGAGAGTTAATTAGAATGTGCATTATGTGATACTTGGTTAAGTATTAAGAATATCTTGTGTTTATTATTTTGTGCCAATTGGATTGTGTAACTGTAGCATTTAAAATTTCGTACCTGTGTTTGTGAACCCGATCAGTAACTTTTTTATGGTTTTGTGATTAGTGGACTTCATCTTGGTGCGAAATGCCATTTGCAGGCAAGCAGATGATTTTCAGCAAGTTTTGGTCTTTCTTGAAAGGTGTATACGCTCTCAGTGTCTGGAGACCGGCTGATTGTGGGCACCGCAGGCCGCAGAGTGTTGGTGTGGGACTTACGGAACATGGGCTACGTGCAGCAGCGCCGGGAGTCCAGCCTCAAGTACCAGACTCGCTGCATACGAGCATTTCCAAACAAGCAGGTACTGACCTCTCCTCCCTGTGCCCGGGGAATTTGAAAATAAGAGGACCTTATATGATAATGATTTGGTCACTGCCTTTTAAAGCTTTGCTTTTTTTTTTGAGTAGTGATTTAGAATTCGTTGTAAATTTTTGACAGCCTTTTGTTAAAAGGTGGTATGTTAACTCAATTTTAGAGAAAGCTTTGATGTTCAGAGAGGATAAGTAATCTGCCAGTGGCTAGAGTAGAGGTTTTCAGATTCCTTGGTGATGCTAGTCCAGGATGCTTGACAGGTATACAGTAATCAGAGAGAGTTTTGCAGGTATTTTAATTTACAAAACAGTGAATTCAAATTTAAATCTGGAAATTTAGGATTATGGAATTTGCTGTTCTCTCTCTCTTTTTCTTTTTTTTTTTTTGCACCTCTTTTTACCCTAATGCTAATAGAGTTTATTCAGTCTGCTAGCAGACCTGGAGTTTTCTTTTCTAAAAGAATGCCATTGAGGGTAGAGAGGCGTTGTCCCTCGTATAATGACGAACAGGGTAGGTCACCCTTCCCATCATCATTACTAGATGAGGTGACACTATTAATCTGCCCTTTCGTCCCCAAATCCTTAAAGTTCAAAGGGAAGTTGGTGGTGGGGTCAGCTGCTGTAGGAATTTTACAAGAGGAAAAGTCATTAAAAACAGTGGGTGTCTTTGGAATCTAATGGCTATCCTTAGTGCTTATCAGAAGGCTAGTACCTCAAATGGTGATCACAGTTCTTCTTCTCAGGATATTGTAAATTTTCATTGAAGATAAGGAATTGCAGTTATGTGAAACTTCAGAGATTTGAGTGCATGATTAAAATATGCTTGCATTTATGAATGTTATTATGTTTTCTATCTAAAATTTTCCGTCAGAGTTTATTTCTAGTTTATACGGAAGTTTAAAAGTAACATTTTACTGATTTTTTTTTCCTCCATAAGTAGTTTTTTAGGAGTAAATCTTTTTCATACCTTGAAGAATTAAAAATATAGATTTCATATTTATCTTCATTTCTTACTTTCTTTGACATACTATTTCGAGGCAAAGTGAGGAAAGGTTTGAAATTATAAGCCACTTTTGAACATCACTGAAAATCTGTGTGGTTTGTGTGTACACTTGACTTGGTGTAGTTAAATGCGAGAGGCAGGATGACCAAGATGGAAGGCTGGTTTTCCACTTGGTTTGGATTATTGGTACCCTCAGTGAAGGAGACACAATTCTCTTAGAGTTGTTAGAGGTGAGGAGGCGTAGAGCAAAGAAAAACATATTCCAGCTGATGGAATGAATTCTAGTCCCCTTCTGGACAGGACAACAAATAAATGATACTGAAACATTTTAAAATTCCTGTTGAGGTTTGACAGAATAACTCAACATTTTTGATTGCAGTGTGCAGGGTACTGGTAGAATGAAGAAGGCAAGTGATGGTGGCCTTTTATTTACTTGTAATAAAACAGATATAAGTGTTCTTAAACTTTGGAGTGATCTTAACTATGTTAGTACAGCTTAAACACGTGGTTAAAACCTGGCCGTATTCTCTTTTCATTTTAAAAATAATCATCTTTCTTTACTGTGGGCTGAATTTTGGAATTGGGTTGAGTTTGGGAATCCAGGCCTAGTTTTGGAAGCTGGATTCACCATTTTTGTCCTCTGATTTCCTCTTGTCAGGGTTATGTATTAAGCTCTATTGAAGGCCGAGTGGCAGTTGAGTACTTGGACCCAAGCCCTGAGGTACAGAAGAAGAAGTATGCCTTCAAGTGTCACAGACTGAAAGAAAATAACATTGAGCAAATTTACCCAGTCAACGCCATTTCGTTTCACAACATCCACAATACCTTTGCCACAGGTATGCTAACCTGTATCTAGTTGTTAAGATAACATCATTTTGCTATTAATTGAACAGTGCACGTTTGTACTTGGGCAGAGTTTTAAAAAATTGTGCTTGCTTTTTATGATATTTAAAGGGAAGAAAAGCTGGTATAATACTCCCTGGGGAAAATGTAACTTCTGTGACCTTAAAAATGGTTAAAATAATGGTTATTTTTGTATCTGCTTTTAAGGACTGTTGTAACTCTTGAAATTACTTGCAGGTGGTTCTGATGGATTTGTAAATATTTGGGATCCATTTAACAAAAAGCGGCTGTGCCAGTTCCATCGGTACCCCACCAGCATTGCGTCACTCGCCTTCAGTAATGATGGGACTACACTTGCAATAGCATCATCGTATATGTATGAAATGGATGACACGGAACATCCCGAAGATGGTATCTTCATTCGCCAAGTGACAGATGCAGAAACAAAACCCAAGTGAGTATGCTTCACCTGTATTTGAGCCTTTTCTTGCATTCAACCCAGGATTTATTAATTTTTCTAAATTCATGAATAGCATTGTTGATGCCTGCTCGATATTACAGCTGACTCTAGGGTTGGAGTTGATTTTATCTTGTTCTCCCAAGCTTTCAATATCCGTAGGTTGATAGACGTCTGATGGATAAAATTGTGCCTAGTTGTTTTGTAGAGAAGAATGTCAAACTCTCATTCTTCTTGAATAGGCACTATTATTTGAATCTCTGGAGTTATTACTAGCTCATTGCTTCAAAATTAAGTTGAGGAATTCAAGAATAATTTATTTTAGCAAATTCTATTTAAGATATTTAAGAATTTGAACTACCAAAAATCTTCCCTCTCCACAGAGGTTGTTTCTTTAATATTTACACAAAATGAATGACCTTCAGGTCTTACTGGAAATTCAGAGTAATATGGCCTTGCCTGCGATAGCAGATTTCCTTAGTTTCGAAATTTTCATAGATGTCTTTGGCTCTTGGTTGTAACTGCTGACAGAGAGGAACCATTTCCATTTTTTGGTACCTAGGGCAAAGCTTTTTACTTAATTACCTGCACCAGGCTTCCAGGCTTTAGGGACACCTGATACTTAGGCACTTGTTTAACCATGAAATACCAACCCCCAAGAGTCTTTGTCCTGTTCCTTGGCCCTGTCTACTCAGGCCCTGGAAGGAAGTCCTCAGTAAATATTTATGGAATAACTGACTTTTCAGGATTTCTGTACCTCTCTGAGTTAGAATGGTATAGAGTCCCCTTGCTAAATTGGTTGAATCCCTGAGAAGGGGGCAGAGTATTAAATACTCAATATCATGTGTGTTTTTACAGGTTTGACTTTAGAACAGACTTAGCATGTGAAGCCTGTTGGATAAAGGGCTGTGTTTGCATTTAATCTCTCACTTTTGTATCTCTTGTCCTGGCTGGCCATTTTGATCTCATGCTGTTCTTTTTTCTTTTGAACTTGTAGGTCACCATGTACTTGACAAGATTTCATTTACTTAAGTGCCATGTTGATGATAATAAAACAATTCGTACTCCCCAATGGTGGATTTATTACTTTTAACAAAGAAACCAGGGAAAAATTTTAATTTTAATATTATAAGAACCTGAAAATATTGGAAAAGAGGTTTTTATTGCTTTTTTTAAAACAAACACTTTCTTTAGTGCATGAGATGGTTTGATGGTTTGCTGCATTTAAAGGTATTCGGACAAACAGAATTTGAGGGCAGCGACAGCACTTTTGAGAATCAGTTTTGACCTTGATGGTGTTTGTTTCTATTGTGGAAATAAATGTTTGTGAATAAATGTAGGTAGTAAAACCCCCTTTGCATTCTTTGTGGACCTTAAATGGTAGAGAAAAAGGCTCTTGAGCCGTTTGTTTCTCTTGCTGGTTATAGTTGCTAATTCTAAAGCTGCTTCAGACTGCCTCATGAGGAGGTTAATCTACAATTAAACAATATTTCCTCTCGGCCGTCCATTATTTTCTGAAGCAGATGGGTCATCATTTCCTGGGCTGTGAAACAAAGCGAGGTTAAGGTTAGACTCTGGGGAATCAGCTCGTTTTCAATCTTATTAGGGTGCAGAAGGAAAACTAATAAGAAAACCTCCTAACATCATTTTGTGACTGTAAACAATTATTTATTAGCAAACAATTGATCCCAGAAGAGCAAATTGTTTGAGTCAGTAATGAGCTGAGAAAAGACAGAGCATATCTGTGTATTTGGAAAAATAATTGTAACGTAATTGCAGTACATTTAGACAGGCATCTATTTGGACCTGTTTCTATCTCTAAATGAATTTTTGGAAACATTAATGAGGTTTACATATTTCTCTGACATTTATATAGTTCTCATGTCCATTTCAGTTACCCAGCCACTGGTGATTAAGGTTAAAAAGAAAAAAATTATAGTGAGAATGAGATTCATTTCAATATAATGCCCTGAAGCAGAACATGAACTTAGCTTGGCCTATTCTGGGTAGTACCAAATAGTATTTTTGTTGTCACACTTTTTGTTTTTTATTTATATTATTTGCAAATGTATGTTTCTGAATGGTACTTGGACCTTTACTGAAATTTATTTTATCCATGATGTATTTAAAAAAAAATCTTCTGATACAGAGAAAGGTCTTATTTGTAAGTATTTCAGTGAAAACTTAGTGTAAGTCTGAACCCATCTTTTGAAATGTATTTTCTTCATTGCAGGTCCACCTAATCATCTCGTGAAAGTGGTTTCTCTATGGAAAGCTTTGTTTTGCTTCCTACAGTTACATGCTTATCCCCTAAGGGATGTGTTATAGTCATTGTGGACGCGTTATTTAGTATGTGGATTTCTCTGTTTTCTGTCTTGCAAAAAACTTGTCTGTGTGCCCTTTCATACTGACTGTGTGTAGGATGAGGAGTCTTTGTGTCCTTTTGCAGTAGTCTGAAGAATTGTTTTCCCCCAGCAAGCCCAGTTGCTGTGTATGAGCAGCTTGAGCTCTTTTTGTAAAATAACCTAAACCTGTTAATTCCATGCTGTCTAATAAATCAGAGATTCAGAACCCTTAAATGTTGGATGTTTTTAAATGTTGGTAATTAATGTAATTTACTTTATAAAAAGGCTTCTGTAAAGCAAAACTCCCTTCATCGAGGGCCTGGTGGGGATGACATTGTACCTTTAGGTCCACACTGCCTCATTTAATTATGTCTATTCTGATGTACTTTGGGGATTCAGTCTTGGATAAAGTGATCTGTTGGAGTTCTGCCATTTCCCTCATGCCCTCTCGCTGGATCAGCAGGGCCCTTGAGCCAACTGTGCAGCTTCACGGGACGGGCACAGACTGCATGGCAGCTGCCGGGCGCCTTTTGGCATGACTCTCTCCCGGTAGCTGGTGCGGCCGGGCTCCTGCAGCTCGCCCAGCCCGGTGCTGATGCAGCCAGCAGGCGCACTTGCAGCCAAGTGACAGACCCGTCTGTACTTATCCATCAAATGCTAAATCAAAGTGAAGCCCCTGGGATGGTAAATAATGTAATAGCCAGACACTAACTGATGGTATTGGTTCTTTAGTGTGATTATGTGCTTTTTAAAGTCATAACCACTTGGTTGAGGACAGAGCATAAATTTAAAACATTGTTTAGCTGAAAGAGAATTAATATAGTATTGTAAAAGGTGACTAAATTAAAGCAATGTGGGGGACCTGGTTTTGAGGGCATGCCGTGGCAGAACTTTTTTTGTCTTTCTATCACGATGTCTTCTTGTCTCTTGAAACCAATGTATCTCACCTTAAAGGTGTCTGCTGCCTCTTCTGTGGACCTCTTCACCAGCTCTTCTTCACAGTTGGCCTGTTTATGATTATTGCCACCTTGCCCCTCAAATGACCCAGGTGTAACACCTTAGCATTTTCGTTGGTTTCCCTTACCCAGATTCTCTTCTCTGTTTTTCAGTGTCTCTTCTGTTTACCTTTCTTTTCTTTCTACTGCTACTATCCCACCACCTTAAAGGGCCCCCTCTGCTCATCTAGCGGAATGCAGCAGCCTCCAGTCTGGGCCCTAAATGCTCTGTCTTCTAGAGCAGTGACTTTCAAACCTTTCGGTTGTGACCCAAGTAAGAAATACATTTAAACCACAGTCCAGAACACACAGAGGTCAGTACAGTATGTATAGTGGTGACAGTTGTGTAAAGCATCACTTGCCCTTTGTACATGTGATACATCAGTTCCCTTCCTTCCTTCCTTCCTTTTTAGGAAATTCTCGTTATGGCCCCCTGAATGGATTTTATAACAAATGCCTTACCACCTCTAATTTGAAAAACAGCTCTATACCACACAAAACTTTTAAAACTCTTGCTCTTTTTTATCATGCTGTGCTTGAGACCCTCCAGTGCCCCCGTTCCCCTTCATTCACTTTGTAAGACTCTATGCTTCCAAGGCCTGCAGATCACCAGGAAGGGACTGCGCACTGTCAAGGTACTCTTAGAAGAATGGGGGTGGAGGTGTCCTTCACTGGGAATTCTGACAGGTAGGTCGGAATGTTCTGGTGGCTGCAATACCTGGTCTGAGTTCCACCGTGTAAAAACTTAAAGGTATGTTAGTTGTGGGGGGAACTCCTTTGTTCCGTATGAGACAGCCTGAATCTTGGAGTCTAGCCTTTGAACCTGGCTTTGAATCCCAACTTTGCTGTTTAATTCATTGCGTCACTGGCCAAGTTAATTTCTGAGTAGCAGTTTCCTCATCTGTGAAATGAAAGTAATCCCTAACTCGTGGAGTTATAAATGAATATGTAAATTGTTGACTAGGGCATGCCTGACACAGTCATCGCTTTCTTAGGATGAAAAAATATTCAATCCATTGCTCTCAGTTATCAGCTGTCTTTTCAGGTTCTTTTCTTTTCCATAAATTAATGTTCTTAGATATCTGTGGGATTCCAGGTTCTTAAATTTGTCAGTATATTCATCTTTTTAAAAACATGTATCAGCTGTTTTAAACATTCAGAAAAACTCAGAATCACATCTATAAACCCACCATCCAGATGTTAAAATGTTAATATTTTGTCATATTTACTTCCCTTTGTTTTAAAATAAAACACTGCATGTGTTTGAAGCCTCATTTGTACCCCGTCTCACCACATTTCCACTTTCCATTCTTCAGTATTGTACTCACTTACGCCTTTATGCTCGTGAAGTATCCATATACAGGCAGACCTGGGAGGTGTTGTTGGTTCGGTACACACCGCCGCGATGAAGCGAGTATTACAGCAGTGAAGGACGCACACAAGGTGTCTGGTGTCGCAGTGAATATAAAATTTATGTTTAGATTGTAGTCTGTTAAGTGTGCAATGTCTAAAAATACGATGTACATACCTTAATTACTTTATTGCTGAAAAATGCTAGCCGTCATTTGAGCCTTCAGTGAGCTGTAATCTTTTTGCAAGAGTATTATCAAAGATCACTGATTATAGATCACCATAACAAACATAGTAATAATGAAAAAGTTTGGAATATTGTGAGAATTACCAAAATGTGACACAGACATGAAGTAAGCAACTGCTGTTGGAAAAATGGCACAGATAGGGTTGCCACAAAACTTCAAATTGTAAAAGAAAAAAACCGCAACATCTGCCAAGTACAATAAAGTGAAGCGTGGAAAAACGAGGTCTGCCTGTATATGTTTAAAAAAATTTGCATAAATGGTATACTGTTTTCTATTCTGGAATGAACCGACCCCTATTTGACATCGGGTGTTGTTAATAAGATGTAGAAGGAAAGGGTTTTTTTTTTTTTTTTAGGCTATGATGTGGGCTGCATGCAGGATCATAGTTCCTTGACCAGGGATCAAACCCGTGCCCCCTGCAGTGGAAGTGTGGAGTCTTAACCACTGGACTGTCAGGAAAGTCCCCCTGAGTGCCCCCCTTTCTTGAACTGTGAGATCAGTCACTATGACAAAAGGAATACCAGTTCTCTGATGTGTTGGGTCTTCAAGGGTGAAAACTGCCTAATCTAACAGTGGTTGTTCTTTCCCCAAGAAAATAGATGAGTGTGTTAATAGTACCCAGTAGGTTAGGTGTATTAAAAATAAAACACCCTTGTTGCCATCCAGGAAGGAAACCATAGCTCTAGTTTCATGGTTCTTCTCTCCTGTGACTTACCCTCCTCAGTCTTTGAAATATCTCTGGGTAGCCCATCTTTCACTTGGGAAAATACTGATTTAAGCTATTAGGACTAGTTGCAGCAGTTTTCCTTTCAGAGTGGCACCTGGCTACGTTGCTTTGGGACTAGTGCTAAGAGAAATGAGAGCTGCTGAGCCTGGTGGCCACAAATACCGACTGGACCATTACGTACAAAGGCACTTTGCCCTTGATCAGTGGTGTGTTGCAACAATGCTTTCATTTTGACGGATACCCACAGAACTTACGGAGTTGTCGTGGGGCATTGGCTTCTTAGTTGGGAATTATTTTGTGTCCTGATGTAAAGAAATCTGAACGTAAAAACTGGACTCTACTGTGATTTATAGAGAGCTATAATTGGGGGAACACGCATGAGTTAGCCTGCTTGTTTAGTATAACTCAGGATTTGGCAACCAGCTCTCAGAACTTACTTTAAATGAAAAGCAATTGGTGGTATTTTGTTTTGCTTTGTTTGAATACACCACTGGTGGGATGACTTTTCCAGTCACCTGACTTGAATAGAGAAATGGAAAAAGAAATGCTTTGCTTTACTGAGCAGGGTGTCAGACTGAAGTAATTGAAGGCTCTTTTCCAGTGGTTTATTTCATTAACTAATTTCCCAAGAAATATTCTTTCACCTCTGACCATCCTAGCTAACTTTGTGCAGTTAACACAAACCTGAGGAAGCCGTACGAATTATGCCTACTGGTCTCAGAAGCACCTAAGTTTGCTTTTCCAGTGTGGTAACGAAGTACCTTTCATCCCTTTATAGGACTCTGTTATAGACTACTGCAGTAATTTAAAACCTGGGTGCCTAGACTCCTGACCTTGTTATAACACCACTTCATAATTCTCAAAATACTTGGCTCTTGAAGATTGTCTTAGCATCAGCCATGTATTCTTAAAGAGCCCAGATGATTTGTCTTTAGTGTTACGTTACCCATGTGTCCTCAGCCAGTAAGCCCTAACATTCTTACTGAATTGCCAGACAGAAATCCTTCAGTTTTTTTCATTATTTCACAGCTTAACATGGCAGTCAGTTATTAGCATTCTCCATTTAAAGAAATGCCCTTGTTGGGAACAATGGCAACGTTTGCCTTCAAGCTTTGGGTGTAGAAGCGGCTCTCCGGCTGGGTTCACTGTTCGTTCATCAAGATCACTGGTGATACTGTGGAGAAGCACGGCTTTCCATATGTGACTAACGTGAAGGGGGTCGTGGAATGGAGGGCAAGGCTGTTACCCATTAGGCTGTGACTATGATCGTTGCCCTTAGTTGCTGTTGTTCATCAGGTGAACATGGACTTCAGTTACCAGCACAAGTTAGAATGGGCACTGTTTATTCAGAGCTTGGTACCTCCTTGCTTACTTTACTTATGTTAACGGAATGTGCTCTGTTAAATGTTGGGCTTCACCTTTACTTTGCAATAAGACCTACCATTTGTGCCATTTCAAAACATCCTGTGCTTGTGCCTGCCAGGCGTTATCCAGAGTTTCGTTTCGGACTCAGATCTGAAGCTATTGAAGAGAAAGAGAAATCTCATTTATTTGGACTTCACTATCAGAATTTGTGATAAATTGACTTGTCTTAGGAGGAAAAGCAAATGAGGTCAGAGGGAATATATTTAATTCTTGAAGGGAGACTCCTTTATGGAAATTAGCATATACTAGTAGTAATATTGCTAACAATAGTAGTAATATTTGGTCTGTACTTTGAACAGGACTTCTGCCTGGAAGCAGCAGAATAACCATCCGCATTACCGGGGTTGGGCACATTCAATATTTATAAAGAAGCACTTTGTGGCTGAAAATAGTGAAAACAGTTTGCGGACAAGCCTGTGGAAACAGAAAAACTAGCCTCTTGGGATTACTTGGGAAATAGTAGGACTAAACTGAAATTTAAATTGGGCTATCAAGGCAAAATTTTGATTTGGCTAGAGTCCAAATTTCAGAAAAGGTTTTCTTATTCATTATCGATCCAAAATGAATGGAGCCCAGAAGAGGGGATTATTCCTGTTTCCTCTTTTGGCCAGTGTTTAGACCTGTTTTGCCAACCTTCCTGATTGATTTCATCTTTTTAATCTGGACTGGCTTCTCCCTGATTAGAGCTTCTTGTGGAGTGGATGAGAAGAAAAATAAGATTAGGGAAAGTTATTTTTAATACTTGTTGCCTTGAGCAGCTAATTGTAGATTTGCAATTAAAGGGACAAAAATGCCTGTGAAAGGTTCTGCTTTTTGGTAACTCCGGAGAAGAACCTGGCAGGAGAGGGAAGTGGACATGTTGGAGGGAGTGCCAGCTGTGCTAGAGGCTAAGCCTATAATATATGTGGGTGGAGTTGTCATTACTTTTGGGAGAAGGGGATTCATCTTTGTTTTTATTGGCTCTCCAGAAATAAAGTTCAGGAACTGGAAACTGAAGAAACCAGTTTGAAACGAGCCTTGTCTGACATATGTGGGAACTTACTGAATGATGGGTATCCCAACTCCTTGGACACCTAGAGAACTGAGATCCGAAAAGCTTCATAATGTTGAGGGCCTCACAGAAAACATGGCATCATCGCTGTTCTTCTAATGTAATCGTCCATCACTGCCAATTGCTTGCTGGAAAAAATATCAGGGATCTCTCACAACAGCCTCATAGCCCTCAGGGATCAGAAGCCTGTGCCAGGCTGAAGGTGACAATGGCACACCCTTCAGGGTCTTCTGTTGGCCACTGCTTGTAGCTAATCATGCAGATCTGTAATTCAGACCATATAGTCCTTCACTTTTTTTTGTTGTTCCTTTGATCCTCTCTCACTTCCTTCTTCCTCTTTCCCTCTCTCCTTTCCTTCAATCAATAGGCAGATAATGAAAGCCGTTTGTGCAAAAGTTGACTTAGGAAAATGAGGCCATTGGTGGGTTTTTGAAGTAGATGCTTGGGGCGCCATTGTGCCATTGGTCCAGGCGATGGGGGTGGCAATGGATAAATCAGCCCGTTGCATGCCTGAAGACCAAGCATTGGCTCTGACGTGGCCTGCGTTATGCCATAATAATTGGGCCTTTTGAGGGCACAGTGAAATAGCACATTTTACTTCCAGTAATTAAAACAAAAACACATGCACTGTGCCAGGCAGTAGCTTAGGGGATGCCGTTGTCCTCACTTTGGGCCCAGCTCACATTTAAGCAGAACATACCTCTGGAGATTCAGAAAAACAGTAGGTGTTTGTGGGCACCACTGGATTGTAAAACATGCATCTTAGTAAGCTGATTATTTGGATGGTGTATAGATTTTTCAAGTCTAGTAACTTTGAAGAGGAACATGTTGGGAAAATACTGAAGCAAAATTTCTACCCTGAAATACAACTTCTTGGGAAAATGTGGAGTAGGGTTAACAGCTTTGGGCTAGACGTCAGGAAACCGAGGTCTGGCCCAGTTAGCTGGGTGTCCTGGGGTGCGTGAGGGACTTGAGGCTCCAGCTCTTCCTGAGAGGCTCTCTGAGGCTCATCCCCATGCTGACGTGGCCTGACCTGATGTCTCTTTCGAAAGGCAAAGGTTCTCAGCTTCTGCAAGTATGGACTTGTTATATTAAGTATTTCAGTGGATGAAGTTTTGAAATAAAACCTGAAATGCTTTACCTCTTCCTGCTTAGAGTCCTTAAATGACTTGATAATCATCGCTTCTAAAGGACACTATTGTTTCCATAGTTTTTTCCCACTATTTCCTTCCATAGTCTTCCCTCTCACAACAAACAAATGAGAGTGATGTTATTTTACAGGTGGGGAAACCATAATAAATGTATGTATGCTACATGAATGACAGCCAGAGGTGGGGGGGGAGTGTAGTTCGTGGATACAAGAGTTTGCTTGACCCACCTAAGAGTTTCCAGTTTCCTTCACAGGATGTGAGTTCTTCAAACCTAGGATGTAACCCTTGATAGAAGTGTTTCTTACTGAGTTTGAGGATGTAA